TTGCCACCCAAACAGTAACCACAGAGCAAGAGAAACCAAGTGAACTACATAAACTGAGCAGACAGATTGATGGGCAAAGGAGATATGGGGAGAGTAAAAGTTCACATTTCTTTTCATTCCTGATCATTAAAGGAATGTGCAGAATAAGTACAATGGTCAGGATAAACTAGACCCAGCCTTTGCTGTATCATCACCCTCTATAGCATGGGTCTCAAACTCAAGGCCCAGGACAGAATCCAGCCTGCGGGGTGCTTAGATCTGGCCCGAGGGGCTGCCCTGGAAACAGTGAAGGACGGCCCAGTGTGCCTCTGCCAGTGAAAATGGAGCTCGCAATTCCTTTTTGCTGGCAGAGGGTTACAGAAGGCTGTCGCAGCCAAAAACGGAGCTTGGGAGCCCGTTTTTGCTGGCAGAGTGCTTGGGTCACCACAGGCGCCCCCAACATGAGTGACATCGAGCTGGCCATGCCCCTAGCGCCCCTCCCCCCCAAGGTCAAACACAACCCTGATGACAGCCCTGAATGAAATTGAGTTTGACACCCCTGCTCTATAGCAAGGGTCCCCAACTTCCAGGCCATGGACCAGCACTGGAAGCAGCTTGCACAAGTGAGCAAAGCCCCATCCACACACCCATGGGATTCAGGCAATGCATGAAACCATAATCTCTTAGGAGAAATCTGCTTTCATTAAGCATAATTATTATTTTCTTATGTATCATAACATTCCTTAGGTGCCTTATTCACTGTTTGACTTTAAAGTGGGATTTTTTTTTCTTTTCTACATTTAGAATCTGATCTCCAATAGAAGAGAATTAAGGACTCCCTAGAATCTGATCCATAAAATTTATTGCAGGCTTCTAAAATTTAAAGTTGGAAGTGTATTGCTTCTTTTGGCATTAAGAAATAATAACACAGTGTTCCTGCCTTAATATAGAAAGGGCTGTCTAAAAGCTGGCCTCCCATGCCCAGAGAGAGATTGCTGTCCAAAGTTACTGCAGCTTCCTCTTATGCAAGTCACTGCCAAATGGATATCTTGATTGCAGTGGAGATGGGAAGATTGGATGTATTATTGGTACAAAAGGAGAGTTTTGCATAGAGTGGCCTCTGAATGTTTCTATCTATTCTGATATTATTCTCTGAATATCAAAATAACCTTGCAAAAATTATATTTTAAGAGCCTTGGTGGTGCAGCGGACTAAAGTGCTATTAAGTAGCACTTAGCTGCCAACTGCCTGCAATTACTGCAAGTTCAAATCTCACCAGGCTCAAGGATGACTCAGCCTTCCATCCTTCCAAGGTAGGTAAAATGAGGACCCGGATTGTGGGGGCAATAAGCTGACTTTGTATAAAAAAGAACACCACTTAGGGGGGCCGAAAGCCCTACTAAGCAGGTATATACAAAAGTATGAAGGCTATTGCTTAACACATTGTAAGCCACCCTGACTGTCCGGAAAAGGGCGGCATATAAATCGAATAAATAAATAAATAAATAAATAAATAAATAATGTTCCTTTGCTGCAGGAATGCGCACATTTCAATTTTCTATTAAATGGTATTGTTTTATTACTCTGTTTCCCCCAAAATAAGACATTCCCTGATAATAAGCCCAATCAGGCTTTTGAGCGCATGGCAATAAGGCCAAGAGCTTATTTCAGGGTTCAAAAAAATATAAAACAGGGTTCTTATTTTCAGGGAAACATAGTAGGAATATCATAGGATCCTGCAGCACTATTAATGATAGGAGTGCTATGGTGCGCCAACCTTTTTCTTGCGTAAAAGTGTATCTTAGCAAGCCTCAAAATCGTGGGGAGCCTATCAGTTTCGGATACAATCTCAACAGCACTCCTCCCATTAGCGTAAATAGGAATGACATCTACATTATATTCAAACCAGTGACTGCTGAACAAAGTTTCTCTATTATTCTGCCTTCCAAATATATCTTTCTTACGCCTTTGCTTGTGAGGAAGATTCAGTTGATGTTCCTTCAGCCTGTTTGTTCTTGTACACTAGTGGGAAATGTTGCTCAGCGGAATTACTATCGCTTCAAAACTCAAGCTAGGTTTGCTTTGTTCTTTTCTGTATTTGAGTCTGCAAGTAATGTTTTCACTGGAATTAATGATGTTAAAAGTAAATTAGTCTTTCCAAACTTAAAACAATGTTGGCAGTGTGTACAGCATCAGCCCTGCATGAATGATACCATACTGGAAATGTTATTAGATGATCCCAAAAAAGAGATTGAGAAAAAGAAATGATGTTTTGCCCTAGGCTACATCTAGACTCAGCATGGCCCAGGAGATTTGTCTTTGGCATATCATAATCCATTGTATATTGCTGGGAGGCATGTCATTTCAGGCACTGATTTTAAAAGACATAAATTTTAACTATATAGTTCAGATAGGTACTGAGATATTTATTGTCCTTCTTGATTAAGAAGATGAAGGGAGAAAACATTAAAAACAAATCTGAACTCAAACTCTCAAAAATACAGACTACAGAGGAAAGTGTTCCTTTCTTACAGCAATAGCAACACCACCACCACATTTATTTCAGAAAGATTTACTTCTATTACAAATTTGGAGTAAGGATCTGTCAACTGATTAAGACAAAGTGGTGGTTCCATTTAATTAGCCAAATAAATGCTTGAACATTTGCCTGTGCAAATAAAAATGCAGCTGAGTCACATTAGAATGAGGAGATAGCAGGTTTTGCTATATTTATTTCATTTTTGTAAAAAAAAAAAAAAATCAGAATCTGTTGATGTTATTAACTCATACATGAAATAAAAGTATGCTTTTATTTTTTTTTTACATTTTTTTTTAAAAAACCTAATAAAATATGTCTTGCTTATCTGTGATTTGTTTCCTCAACCACTATTTCTTGGGATTATACATGTATATGTTATGCTAATTCATAAACCATAGTTTTCAACCTGAAGTAACTAAGTTGACACTTTAGTCTAAACCCAGAAATAGAGTATGATGTTTGAACGTATTCTTTTACTCTGTAGTCTAGCAAAGGCTTTGGATATACACTTATGATTTATGCCTTACATTGACAAAAAGTGATATGAATAGGATATCTGGCCCATAGTTCAGAATTTGGCAATGAGTGGGCCTAATAGGGTAGTTGCCTCATAGATACTGAGAGGAAACAACAAGATGCTTGAGAAGAATTTAGCCCAAAGTTAGCCTGTGGCTTTCAGAATAGAAGAAGATATTCCTAAATTATCACTCTTGAATAATAGTTAATAATAATAATTCAGTGGTTAACTAGTATACAAGGAATGAGGGTGGGATGACATTGTTATTTCAGGCAGCAAAATGATTGATAAACTGGGAATGCAACATCACAGGGATTATTTCTGTTAAGCACTGATCAGCTTTATAAATATGGATTCTACTTCCTATTTTTCTCAGTGTCAGGGTGATGGTAGTGCTAACAGTTTTGGACAGTTGCACATGTATTAACAGCTTTGTGTTTCTTATGTCTAACACACATATCAGATCTTTTCTTTTTGAAACTCTGTGCTTGGGAACACTTTTATATGGAGATAATGATTAAATCACACTTCAGATAATTAACGTTGAAGAAAGAATTGTAGTGCAAATAAGCATGTTGCTTATTTGTTAGTCAGTTCTACCTCTTTAAAATTCCTATGTAAAAGCAGTCAGACTTCCTTAGATTTTTGTCATGGTTTGATTTACTTTCTGAGCTGAATAAGATATATTTTAATAAAATATAGGGAAGGCTTTTTAGTTTACAAGAAATGTTTGCCATGCTGATAGAGGATAAAGGACACATTGGAAATGAATATCTTATACACAATTATTTGAGGGTAAATTTTTAAAAATATATTTGTTGAAAACTTTCAGTATCCTGCATATTTTGCTTCTAAAACTATATTTTAAAATTTCTGCTGATGGAGGAAATTTTTTGCAGATGATTTTGTTTTAATACCACAAAAGAGAAGGATATCTCTGCAGAATCACCAACGTGAACAGTTCTTGGCTCCAAACTAACATTTTACCAATGCTGGCCTGGATTTGAAGACTCAGCACAACTGTTAATGGTTATATTACTCATCAACTGTTTATTACAAATCTCCTTTCTCTTCCCAGAAATAATTCAAGGATGTGTAAATATGTCTGTATCAGGAAATGCACTACTTTCATCAGGGTTTCATCAGACATTAATTTTGGCAAATTAGCAAAATTATCTCCAAAACAAAATTTTCCTGCTATAGAAATGATACATATTACTATATGTTTGGGATGCTCAAATTCTCTAAGAATGGACAAATGCCACTTGTTTGAGACCATTATGGGACAAATGGACAGCAATTGGATTTTGTTATTATGGACAGTATATGAATGTTTATGTATTTGTTTTGCTTGCTTAATTTCTCAGATAAATTAGTTTTTATTGTTTTCTTCTTTTTCCTTAGCGTAAGTATTGGGCAGAATCATGGGGTAAGATGAAAAATGCTGATTTACTATCTAAGAAGGGCACTTACTCTGATGTTCAGTCTTAGTTTGTAGATTCTCTTTCTCTGAGCAAAATATATTATCAAGATATCATTTGTAGAATCATACAATGCCTAAACCCAACTTTTTGATCAATCTACAGTCCTAGTTCCAAATACAGTGGCATGGCAGCAGAACAACATTCCAAAGAGTTATGATTACATTCTGTATGTATATCCTCCATTCTCAATTCTCTGTACTCATAATTTTGCCTCAGTTGTGCATTTGTGCATGTATCTCTATCGATAATGGTTTTTGGTTCAAGGCTGCAACAGAAAAATAAGACTTAAAAGAGGGTTTTATATTGTATTTGTCAGTCTCCATTCCCATCCATCCGTTTTACATTCACAAGTTTGAAGTTATTTGCTTTTTTTCTTACTGTGGGTTTAGGTTCACTTACCATTAGGTCTAAATCAACCAAGCTCTGCTTCCATGCCTGTGATCCTATTGCTTTATGTTGATTTTTTCCCCATATCTTGCAGAGGAAGCTTCCAGTCCTCCTCCTTGGACGTTCAGCAGAGTTACGGCCTGGTGAATTTGTGGTTGCAATTGGAAGTCCATTTTCTCTCCAAAATACAGTCACTACTGGGATTGTTAGCACTACCCAGCGAGGAGGCAAAGAGTTGGGACTTAGAAATTCTGATATGGACTACATCCAAACAGATGCCATTATCAATGTAGGACACTTTTTATAAATCTCTTACATTAAATGCATACTTCTATATTAAAAGCATATAGAACCACTGGCTTTTCTGAGGATGTTTCTTTGTCTTTGCTTTCCATTTTAACCTATGGCACTCTTATTTTTTGTGACTTCTCATCCAATAATAACCACTTCTGACCCTGCATAGCTTCTCAAGATTTGATGAACAAGAAGAACTTCATTTGGCCTATCACACTATTTTGTTGGGTCTCTGGTGTCCTGACATACCTTTCAAATCAGTCACTTTTATTTTATTTTCCTTTTATTTAAGGTATTGATTTCGTGTGGGGTGTTATTCCTTTTATGACTATGTATGTGTCATAGTTTAGCATGATTTGTCATAGAGCATTGCACTGATTATTGGCAGTGCTGGAAAGATCTGTTAAAGCTCAGCTCATCTTTATATTTTGGATTAGTGATTTGGCATAAGGATTTTTACAATTATTGTACATTAATTAACTCCAGAATTATACTGTATAGTCTTCCCATGACCCTGGGTTTACCACCAACTCTCAGTTTTATGTTTTTTTACCACATAATATCTAAATGGATCATAAGTTAAACATTGCCTTTCAAACAGAAGTTGTACAAATTAATTTGTCTGGAAGGACCTTCTCTTAGATTTATTCCATTTAAGTTTGATCATTTACTTCCCTTTAAGAAATTTTGTGAATAAGTAAATGTGAACATCATTTCTGGAATGCATTAGGTAGCAAATATATTTCCAAACATAAAATATATTTCTAAATCAGTGTAAATGGAAAATTAAAAGGTATTTTCTTCCTAAATTTTACAGTATGGGAATTCTGGAGGACCTTTGGTGAACCTGGTAAGTATTTTTTTTTTTTTTACTTAAAACACTGAGGTTTGGGACTTTATAAATGATAATACTCTTTTCCATGTCCCCCACAAGTAATAGATTTTGTATTTATTTAATCACTCATTCTCAATTCTATGCATTGTCTTTGGTGTTCAGCATTCAAACTTGTACTATGTACATATTTGAATGTGCATTGATTATATAGTCCATTTTGTGACTGCAGCAAGTTGGCATGAAAAAGTTTAAGGATATTGCCATCCAGTTGTACCCAAATTGGAAATAAAGCTAGATTTTATTTTGAAGGCAATATTCAGTGTCTAGTTGAAAATCAGTTTAGATTCTATAGATGCTATATGACAAATAAATCACAGATAAGAGTACTAGTTCAATTTGCAGAATAGGAATTGGAGCCTTTGTTTGAAGAGTTTATGCTTACTTAACTATTCACATTACTACAGGATGGGGAAGTGATTGGTATTAATACTCTGAAGGTCACTGCTGGAATCTCCTTTGCAATACCATCAGACAAAATTAAAAAATTTCTCACTGAATCACATGACCGACAATCCAAAGGTATTGTACTATACTATATGCAATAGTAGGGAGACAAAGGTAGAAGTCAACTGGCTTGAATTTTGAAAGGTAAGTTTCTAAATCCTGCCCACTTAATAAGCCAGTATATCATTGAAGAAGCCATATCATCTGTTCCTCATTAGTGTCCTGGTTTTTATTGTACTGTTTATGTGAGATAGCATTAAGATTTTATATCTTACCTTTTTATTAGATGTATCCATTAATATCAAAGGTGCATTTCATAGCCCATCACTGCTTTGATCAATAGAAGCTTTTATGCTTTTTTGTAAAATAGAGTAGGCTAGATTACCAGCTTTAGTCATATCCTGACCACATTCAAGAGTGATCAGTCTTTTGTAATATGTTACAAACATTAATTAAGTTCAGATTTGTTTGCTTAATCATATTTATATACCGCAAGCATGGTCATACTATTCAATGCAAACTGGGTATATTTAATCTGAAGATGGCCTTAAAGTCAGCATACTGTTCCCTGCTTCCCATCAGGGGCACCTGAAGTGCAGTAATAATATAATGATAATAAAATGTCTATAGGAAAAGAAATGGAATGAGTAGAAATTTGATGTAAGCAAAGAGAATGTGAAATCTGCTTGGAACAGAGTGAAAGGAATTATATTACAAACTGTGCCAATTACATTTGAAAAATTATACATTGTGCAATGATAAAATGAAAAAGACTGGATATGAGGAAAAATGCATGTAATGATTACTGCAAAAATGAGGACAAGAAAGCACATATTATTATATAATGTGTATATACAGATAGTATATTGACTTATAAACACAATTGGGACCAGAATTTCTGTTGCTAAGCAAGATAGTTATTAAATAAATCACGCTCAGTTTCATGATCTTTTTTTTACCACAGTTAAGTAACTCACTGCAAATTGTTAAGTGAATCACACATTCTAATGAAACCAGCTTCCCCCATCAACTTTGTCAGAAGCCAACTAGGAAGATAGACACAATGTCAGGATGCTGCAATCATCATAAATAGATGTTGGTTGCCAAGCACCCAAGGTTTGATCACATGACCATCTTTGGGATGCTGCAATAGTCATAAGAGGACCATCATAAGTCACTTTTTTCAATGTAGTTGTAACTTCAACTGGTCACTATACAAATGGTTATAACTACCTGTAAGGTGATACAGTCAAGGTGATACAGTCAATTTCCTGACATTTAAAACAATTAATCAGTGGAAGGACTTGCTTCCAGAAGTTGTGAAGAAATTGTGGAGAATCTCTTTTTAAGAAGAGATGGGACAATCATGCGTCTGAAGTGGTGTGGGGTTTCCTATTTGAGCAGAGGTTGGACTAGAAGACTTCCAAAGTCCCTTCCAACTTAGTTTAGTCTGTTATTCTGTTAAGTCGGTCAAATCATTATCAAATCATAATCTGTAGTATATTAGAATTTTTTGTTTATTTGTTTTAGATGAGGGGGAATAATACAAATTTTTCCTCTTTTTTTGCCCCTTCTTTTTGAAACAGGAAAAGCTGTAACTAAGAAAAAATACATTGGCATTCGAATGATGTCTCTCAGTCAGGGGTAGGTTTTAAAACTACAACATTCTTGATTACAGGCACTCCTGAACTCAGAATCCTGATGCTTAATATCAGGCCCATTTGTAAAATGGGCCTGGTATTAAAAAATGAAACAAAATTTCTTAGTGTGAGTCAGTAATGAACTTCTAGATAAAATATTGTACCATATTGTGAGCAAAAGATATTTTTATTTCATGGACAGCAATGTTTATTCCAGTAAAGAAGTGAAAGAATCCTGTCTCTTATTTTGTTTATGCCTTAATAGATTTGTTAATGTTTCAGAAGCTAAATGACTTAATTATTTCTGATGCATATAAACATAGCTGTTCCTTTTATAAATCTTTTGATCATATCATTATGTTCTCACTAAATAATCAATTCATGTGTTTTGTTTTCTCTAGTAAAGCTAAAGAACTTAGGGAACGCTATGAAGATTTCCCTGATGTTAATTCTGGAGCCTTTATTATTGAAGTAATTCCAGACACACCAGCTGAGATGTAAGTTAAAGAATTCTTGTTTTGTGCTTATCAAAGTGCTTATCAAGGTGTTTTGATAAACACCTTGATAAAATAAATAAACAAACAAGGAATTAACATCAACAGAATGCTCTGTGAGATATTTCAGAAAACCTGCTGGATCCCCAATGTTATGATTAAAAAAGTGTTGCCATTTTTTTCATCTTTTCCCCCGTTGTTGAGAAGCTTCTATACTCATTTCTTTATCTTTAGACAAGCCCCTTGTTTCCTTTTTGTTCTTTATAGTTTAATGCATACTTTTGAGCATCAAAATTATTTCTTCATATCCCGCTATTATCTCTTGATAGTCCATTTTGTAACAATTTGATAAAAATTATTCAATATCCCTCTATGGTTCTAACGTCTTAGTATTTAAAAACTTCAACAGAGCCAATTATTAATAAGATTTAGTCAATCCCATAGTTATACCTCCAGATCACCTAAATTTATAATCTTATAAATTTATAACCAATAGATGCTGGTAGGCAGAGGCAGAATTTTTTTCCTTGTTTTCCTCCCCAAAAACTAATGTGCGTTTTATACCCCAAAGCGTCTTGTACTCCAAAAAATACAGTAATACACTTTCATTGAAAATTCTCCCGCTGTAATGCTCCTCTTCTTCCAGTAGATGGCTCTCCTACTCAAAATTCCAACATTAAACAGTATGTCAAAAATCTTTTAATCTTCTCCATGTATCTAGTCACTGTTTCCTTAACTCTTGGAGTATTTTAAAAAATTCTTGTACTTAAGTTAAGTCTTTAAAGTAAGAGTTGGAGGTTATCCCACCCAGTTTCAATACTCTGTCCACAGACCGCTCCAGCACAAATCTTGTGGCCCCGGTTGTCCCAGCTTGTGACTAGCCAAAAATGCCCATAGTCCCTGCTGCCGCTCAGGAGAGCTTGCTTCAGATCTAATGAGGAAATTGTGAGTTCCTCGTGGTCCACTTCTTTGCTGCCCCTACAAGGCAGCTTGGACCCCGTAGGGTCTCCCGACAGCAGTTGCCGGCTGGATTTCGCAAGGTTCGGTGGAGCCCGCTATTTTCCAGCCGTTCTTGCAACGACGTCAACCGGAAGTCCCAGAATTCCTGAGCCATTATGGGCGACTCAGGAATTCTGGGAGTTGAAGACCACAAGTCATAAAAGGGCTATTGTTCCCCACCCCTGAGTTAGATGGTTCTGTGTGAAATATAAGGCAAGACTAACCAGAACCCAGAGTTCTGAATTTTATTACTTTAATTCATTTTTGGTGTTGCCTGACTTCAGAAGGATCCTGGGCAGCACCCGAGTCACAACTAATTTGCAACTTGAATAGAATAGAACGGAACTGAAAGGTGTTTATGGGTATATGGCAGTCATATGAACATCCTTCTGACACATAAAACATATTACTATTCAGGTAATCTCTGTACTTATTTCTTCAAAGGCTTAATTCTTCAAAGAGAACTGTTCATTTCTTCTTTATAGTCTTCTCAGCTTCAGACATAGCTTGAAAGTATTATCACAATTTACCCTACTAATATTAATGTTTAATGAATGTGTACTCCTTATTAAACTAATTTTTCTGGAGCTGTCATACCTACAGCAAGGATGAAGTTTCTTCATTTTCTTCATTTCATACTAATGATCTCCCTGAGCACTGTAAATGGTAGGCTGTCAAGAAATTAATAATTCCTGAAAAATGCTTCTTTTGAAAGAACTGCTTGTGTCAGGTATTTCTCTTTGCATGAGCAAACCTTATGAAAGCTTTGTGGCTACATAAAATAGCTGTGCTTGGGGGTTGGTTCATGTCTCCGCCTGTTAAGTGGGTTTGTCTTTCCATAAGGCATAGCTGGAGTTCGTCTACAAGACAGGACAAGATGAGGTGGGGAAAGAATGCTGAACTTTTCTCATTAGCTTCAGTGCCACCAACATGAACATAGTGAAGCTTGATGGATAGATTTACTCTTGCTCTAGAGATCTAACTTTAATTTCTCAGTCAGAAAAAAAGTTTGTAAAAGAAAGCAATGAAGGTTGCAATTGTTAGATATCATGTAAGGTTTATTTCATGGCAATGTTTAAAATGTTCTAAAAAATGGAAATTGAATATATTTTTCTTCTTAAAAATGATCACTGAAGTACTAACCTCCTCTCTAATTTAACAATTATATATTAGATAAATTAAATAACAATTAGACAAGTGTATAGAACAATTATTATTTCAATTTTAAATCAATGTCCCAAAATCTGACTATTTTCTTATTAAATATTTATGTTGCTTTTATGCTGTCTTTCAACAATTAACCTCAAGACGGTTAATAGCAGAGATTAAAAATGAACCTGACTATTTTAAAACCGCCATTAGAAACATATAGAGATGAAATCAATATTAGTTCTGAAGAAAACACATTTTATAATTTGGAATTGATAAAAGTTCTTTCCAGTATGCCTCAGAAAGTGGATCTTTATAAATAGGCCCAGTTTCAAATTTAATTTTTAATCTATCTCATACATAAAATGATAAGCTCATACAATTGTGCATTAGTTAATAGCTGCATTTTGTACCAGTTGGCTCTTTCTGGACTCTGTTACAGGAATCTAAATATATACTACAAAGGCTCTCATACTGTTTTGTGCTTATGTAGTGAGAGAGTTGGACCAACAAGGCAATAAAGATGCTATAGTAGGAAGAAATAGGCAAAAATAACATCCTTATATATGTTGCATGTAGTACATGCAAATTAATTATTATTAATTATTATTATATCAGCTCTTTCTTTATTCTGGGCAAAACTTTACAGTGAGAGGTACATAATCATGGATTCTTTATCAAGGGATGCATGTTCACACTTGTTTTGTCTAATGTCACTGGAAACTTCCTTTCTTTTCACAAAGTAAGCATACAATATACTAGATTGGCCAAATAGTAGTTTCTTGGATTGAATTATGATTCCCATATCTTGAAGTATCTTGATATAGAAAGAGGTGTGAGTCTTTTATTAGGCTAATATTTTTTTCTCGTTTATTTTCAGAGGAGGCCTGAAAGAAAATGATGTGATTATAAGCATTAATGGGCAACCAATAATTTCTGCCAATGATGTCAGTGACATTATCAAAAAAGACAGTACACTCAGTATGGTAGTACGCAGAGGAAATGAGGACATTATTCTAACAGTTATTCCTGATGAAATTGACCATTAAATAGAAACATGAGCTGGATTTCATGCTACAAGCAGGCACTGACTGTTTATATTATCTCTGTGCTGGTACAGAAAACAGTAGATTTTGACCAACTATCCAACTATGTTTAGTGGTATTGTATTGCTGAATAAAGTAATTTTTCAATAGGTTAAGTGTTGAAGATAATACTTCAGCTATTCTTACTGTGTACTTTGTATTCTTTGTGGAGTCCTTGGTGCTCTCTGAGCTACAATTCAAAATAGACAATAAAAAAGCTAAAAGAGACTAAAATACATCTTCTCTGCAGCCTATACCCAGATAAACAGGGATTAACACCAGAAAAACAATCAAGCAGAAAGTAATATCATAATCAAAGATCTACCAAGGAAAACACTTCATTTCTACCCATACAAGCTACTCTATGTAAACAAGAAACAAATTCCAGAGTTGATAGCACTGATGATGTTATCTAGTTATGTAAGAAACAGCTGGGAACAAGCATCCAAGCTAGAGGTCACCAAGGACTACAGTTCAATCTGAGCTCCATATGTTATTTTTTATGTATTTTTACTGGTTAGTCCATCATCCATTCTAATCTGCAAGATAAATCACCTGTATAACATACATTGCAGTATTCCATTTTTAGTAGCTTGATATTTCCTGAAATACAACTGTTAACAATATAAAAATATTGGAAATAAATGACTTGTACACATGCAAGTCCTGAACCTATGCTGATTTTTTTTTAAAAAAAACCTACTGTAATTTAATTAAAGCACTTTCACTTATATAATGTGTTATTCCTGATAAAATTTTGTTCTATTTTTTCAGATAAAGGCTAGTTTGAAGCTAAATACCATTGCTTTTACTATATACTATGTCATACACAGACATTCTTGCTTATTCTATTAAGCCAATGCTTTTATTCATAATTTTCATATAAAGGAGCTCATTACTGTCCCTTGGTAGTTCCATCCAGGATGTACTATTGTGAATGTAAGAAATATAATAGGCTGATGGTCTACGCCTTTTTTTTTGTCATTGTACAGGATGTTCTCTAATTGAATTCTTTTACATAGTATCAAAGGCCACTGATTTGCTTCATCAGCAGCCTAACCTTAATAGATCAATGTGAAGTCAGCTGATGGTTCGTTCCAGATCTGAGCTATTCATGTGCTTCCTCAGTCAATGCATAATAACATAATCTTCCAAAGTCAGTGTACTGAAATTGGAAAAACGCAGAGTTTACATTGACAATTCATCAAACCACTAATCTACAGTTTTATGGAAAGGCGATTACATCCCAAGAATCATTATGTACTGTGATGTGCAAATATATGAAAACTTTCTGAGAGAAAACCAGCAATGACTAGTTTGTAGCTGAAGATGATTAACTGGTTGGAAAGAATTCTGCAGTGGAATATTTGATCAGTCAGTGCAAAATGACTAAATTAATAGATTATTTTGGCTTGCCAACTAAAACCATTTTTGCAGGAACTTCCTGACAATTTTCTCTCAAATCTTGATAGTTCCTGCTTCAAGTATTCTCTTTATCATTTCCAGCTGGGTTTATGGCATACATTCTATTTAGATGCAATAGGCTGTGTGCCTAGGATCTACAAAATTGTAATACTAAAATATTAATAAAAACTAAATAACAAATTCAAAACACATATTGTACATCCTATTAGTAAACATAAAAATTTAATGAATAAAAATGAATAAAATAATCTAAGGGATTGTTACTACTTATCTGCCACCTTGAACTTTTTGAAAAATAGATCCATGGAATATCTTTATAATTCTGAGGATTTGGATTATTCAAACAGGAACCCACATGTTTAAGCCCAGCAGGATCTTGATATAGCCCTGGCTGGATTTGTATCTTTCCCAAGGAACATGCAATAACCTGGGGAATGCTGTTTAACATCTGCAAAATTTAGAAATGCACTTGGGAAATATTTAAGACAAACACATCTGGAATATGGATGTACTGTAAAAGTTTAGAATTCCTAAAACAAACTCTTAAGAGAGTTGGTGTTGAAGCTATGAAAATGAGAAGACTGGCTAAGGGGTTAGGGGAAAGAACTGAGTGAAAAAGAAAATGGGAGAAGTGTCTAACTCGGTGTGTCTCAACTTTGGCAGTTTTCAGATGTGTGGATTTCAAGAATTCCCCAACCCTAAAACTAATTCCAAATGTGTGTAAATTTTGCTTCCTGGATTTGGTCATTACAAAATGTTCAGTAATCAGCCTTAATATTATTATATATTATTAATATCCCAATTAATTGGAAACTTACCTGTTAAGCAAAAATTGTGCTTGATCCAAAATCTGTAAATGGAGATAAATTGAATGTTCAGAAAGAATATGTATATCATTAAAAAAAAAAAGCACAACAAAGAATGTTCTCCTTCCATCACCTCAGAAAGCTCAGATTGCCCAAGGATCTGCTGATATAGTTCTATAGAAGAATTATTGAGTCTGTCATTTGTGCCTCAGTAACTTAGTTTGACACAGCAATCAAACAGGACAGAGATAGACTTCAACAGATAGGACTGCTGAAAAAACAATTGCAACCAGCCTGCTTTCCATTAAGGATCTCTATACTGCACGAACCAGAAAGAGAGCTTAGATAATATCTATAGACCTTGCATCCTGGACGTAAGCTTCTTTCAACTTCTCCCCTCAGGAAGCTGCTATAGGGTATTGCATGCCAAAACAACTAGACACAACTAGTTTTTCCCTCTGTGCCATCGCTCTGCTAATACCTAATTCCCACAGCGTAGGCCTAAAGATATTTATCCATGTAGTAGGCTGTATTGCTATTATCCTTGTCATCTTCTCGTCTTTCTCCGCATCTTTCCTACCACCTTCTCCTTTTGGTATCTTATGATTTATCACTTCTTGTTTGTATCTTATGATTAATGATTGTAACTATGATTTATTATGTATGACCTATTACTTTGTTGTTTGTATGTACTCTGAGAGCTTATGCACCAAGTCCAATCACACTTGGCCAATAAAGAATTCTATTCTATACAATTTTAAATCATCTTTCAAAGAACTGCAAGATCATAGGTCTTCTGAGAAGGGACTGTGGCTTGCGGAAAATTCTTGGACTTGAAGTCCATACATCTGAAAGCTTCCAATGTTGAGGCACACTGTCTAAATCCTACAGATGTGCCTATGGCAAGGAAGCAGCATTTTCTCTTGTTACAAAGCTTAAATCATCCAGATCATATTCTTGTGACCTGAACCTAATGCAGAAGAACTTATGCAGTAATGGCAATTTGGACTGTGTGGAAATATTACTCCCCTTGAGTTTGGCCATTACAAAATATTCAGTAATCAGACATAATATTATTATATATTAATTTCAACAATATTACAATTAACTGTAATCTTACCTGGCATTCCAGTTGGTGTCAATCCAGAATCTATAAATGGAGATAAATTGAATGCTCAAAAAGGAAATGTATATACAAGTTTAAAGAATCATCATCACCATCATTGTCATTTTCACCATCATCTTTCAAACAACTGCAAGGTCATGATATCTTTCTAAGAAAGGACCATAGGTTCATGGTTGAGAAATGTTTCACATCAGAAACTTTCTGATTCACTCCTCGGTTGATTTAACTTAAAGATTAGAAAGCAAGTGATCAGTTTTGCATAAGTCTTTAGAAAATCCCTGCCAGTGATAATTTATGATGGTGGGACAGATAAATAACTGACTTGACTTGTAGCAGCTTTCTATATGAGGAATGATCTTTTTTACAGGATCAGTCCTGCATTCCCTATAGGGAACAAGATACTATCTCTCTGAAAATCCCTGTGAAAGAAATGAAGCCAACCGTTTATTATAATATTTTAAATCTTCCACTAATATGAAAAATATGTTTCAGCTCAGCTTTTGGGTATGGATTTCTTGGAACAAACAAAGGAAACTATCAAGAAAGTAGCTCCATTCCAACTAAAATCAGGCGTGATTTGCTGAGAGCAATGATGCATGGTTTAGTCATAACTATTTGATGTTCCAATATTTTTAATGAAATTTAGTCATCACTTAGTTGGTTAAGACTCATATGGTTTAGGTAAAAAAAACAAAACAGTCTGGTTAGCTTTTTAGAAGACTCAAAATTCTAGCCTGATTTAATAGCAAAGCAAACTTGCTTAGAAAGATTAGTCTTATTTAAGACGACATGATGGTTACAGCTATGGAATCTCAAAAAAAGTCTATGGAGACTTTTCTAAGATTCCAGCTAAAAAAAAAATAGAAGTGTTCAAACTGCTATCACAAATAGCTGCTCTTGGGGCTTTTTTTGACTCAAATAATACCCGTGGAGCAAAAAACTGCAGAGAACTCTTTCTGCAGACTAGATAGGTATACATTAAGGACATTTGCATTGAACAAAACCCTTTTTCGGATCCATCCCTAGAGAACTCTGATTAGATATTAACAGAAGTTCATTGCCAGTGAATCTATGATCAATTCTAAACAACAAGAATTGTTGATGGAAAAAACAAAAACTAAATTGCAGCTGAATACATGTGCCAAAGAAAGGAGAGCTACTAGTAATTCATGAAGCTTTGCTTAACATTAAATAGCATTTTAAAATTTACCAAAAAAGAGAGATTATTTTTGAAGTTATTTTTAACCTTTTTGCATACACAATTTAGTAAATGAAATGTTCAATCTTACTAACTGATATGCTCAATAGTTTCAAGATGATGCATGATGATGAGCTATGCACTGTGAATAATTTGGAATAATAAATGTATAAATAAATAACTTGACTAAACAATACAAAATCTCCTGAAGGAGAAGGATGACGTGCAAACTATATCTGAAAATTTTCATAAAGCAGAAGAAAATACCTACCAGAGCATATAACAGCAGCATCGTTGTAATTTCCACATGTAGCAGGACGATACTCATATGGGCATGACAGTAAATAATCTTCTGACCCAGAGCAATCTACATGAGTCATCAAAGGGCCGCTGTCCCCTTTACCAAAAGAGCCGTCGCTCAAGGCAGAAAGAGCAGTGCCACAGTACAGTTCATTGCAGACAACCTGAGCATCTCTTATGTCCCAACCTTCACTGCAAACCTCCTTTCTCCAGTTGGCAAAAAAAGTGACTTCAACACGACCAGCACATCGGTTTGGGCCACCCACCAGCTGCATAAACACCACTTTAGCAGGGCGGGGGAAAAAGGCAAAAATGATTGCTGTCAGCACAACTGATTATAGACATATTTTCAAAATTAAGAAAAATGCATAAGTTAAGGCTTTGTTTTTCATCTGTTCCCTCCATCAAAAAGAGGGAGCTGCATTTTAGTCAATTCAGGTAGTCCTCGACTTACAACCACAATTGAGCCCAAAATTTATGTTGCTAAGTAAAACAATTGTTCAGTGAATTTTGTTCCATTTTATGACCTTTCTTGCCTTTCTTTCTTGGTTGTTAAATGAATCATTGTAATTGTTAAATTAGTAACACAGTTGTTAAATAAGTCTGGCTTCCCCATTGACTTTGCTTGCCAGATGGTCGCAAAAGGGGATCACAAGACCTTGGAACATTGCAACCGTCATAACTATGACTCAGTTGCCAAGCATCTGAATTTTGATCATATGGCCATAGAGATGCCAAACGATCGTAAGTGTGAAAAACGGTCATAAGTCACTTTTTTCAGTGCCGTTGTACCTTCAAATGGTCACAAAACAAACTGATGAAAATCGAGGACTCCCTGTAGTCAGGAAGGCTATGATCATTTTAAAAAGAGAGCTTCAGTGTCATTGTGACTTTTATTAATTTTTTTTTAAAGTTGCAGATAGAAAACAAGTTGCAACCTTTTCAACAAATTTACAGGATTAGGGGAGGTCTGGAAAAGGTCAGGTATGGATAGGGAGACGCGATGTGAAAAGACCTCAGGAGGATAGGCAAACTGGGTTAGAATCAGGTGGAAGACTAGACAAGCAGCATGGAGAAAGTAGAAGAGAAGCACCCAGGATGAGGAAAGGCCAGACAAGGTGGGCTGGGCAGATGCAAATAAAAGAGAGGAATTGGCCAGAAATAGAGTAGCAGACAAAGCAAAGGTCAGCAGGGAGGGAGAGGAAGAGAAGAATAGAAGAAAATATATGTACTGTAGCTCAGAATTGTGGAATCCTTGAGGCTTATCCAAGCTAAGAGAAGACCAAAGACTCCAAGGATAACATTGGAAAGTCTCAAGGCCTGGAGGATTTGTGTGGTTCACTGGATTCTCCATCAAGTCATATGTGACCCACAGGTCTTACATTTTGTGCTACTTAATACAGTTTTATGCTTTTAATATGGAACTCTTTCATGGTTAATAATAACTCTTTAGCAATCTCTTGCATGTCATGCATGCTACTAGAGAGAGAGAGAGAGATGTAATTTAATAGGGGTGTGTTCTCCAAGTTGCTTTTAAGAAACAGTAGTAAGTTTTGTCAAGTTACAAACCCATAGAGAATAGAGAGTCACAATAATTAGGAAAAAAGTAAAATTACAGGAAGAAGTCACAAGCAGCTCACTTCCAATCTTTATCTGAATGAATCAACTGAACTAAAATGTGAATTACATTCAGAGGTTGTTCATTTGCTGAACTTTGTACATTCATAGTTTACTGAAAGTTTTAAAGAAACTCATTTCATGCAAAATATTTTAAAAGCTACTGTGTTTTGTTTTAAAAAAAAAACCCTAAACACAGACTCACCATCTCCTTCGGTTCCAGCTGTAAGATATAATAAAACTGATTATTAAATCTGCAATCTATTTACATCTATGTCTATAGATAACACACAAATATGCACAAACAAATAAAACAATTTCCTTCACCGCAATAAAATTCAACATCTTCAGATATTGTCAGGTAATCAAATATTTAACATCACATGACTGAGGCTGTGCAATGTACACTAAAAACTAAAACAGCTGGTGAATTGCAATAGTAAAAGGTCATGCAAATGCAGAACTTTTTAGAATTTTGTTTAAGTTCCGGGTCTTAGTTTTTTATAATTATATTGATCCAAATAGGACTTTTGTCTGCTGAATCACTGCATCTGCTGCTGTTAAACTGTAACTCTTTTCTCTTTCATTAGCTATTGTGAATGGTATGGCAGGCTACTAGCTTTCTTCTGGAAGAATTTGCTGAAATTCATCTTTTTTTGTTCACATATAAAATAGATTTTGTTTTAGAAGTTGGAAGTAATAACAGTGTTGGAAGGGACCTTGGAGGTCTTCTAGTCCAACCCCCTGCTCAAATAGGAAGCTTTATACCAGTGTTGGCGAACCTTTTCAGCACCGAGGGCTGAAATGGGAGCACCCATCCATGCACAGACAGGAGCACCAGAACTAGAAGAGCAGCTTTCAGGTGTGCACATGTGCACTGGGGAGCTGCTCTTCTGGTTTCTGGCACTTCCCTGTGTGCCAACTGGCCGGCGTGCATGTGCGCGGTGGAAACCGAAGAGCAACGGGTGACAGCTGGTGTGCCCACAGAGATGGCTCTGTGTGCCACTTCTGGCACACATGCCATAGGTTCGCCATCACAGCTCTATACCATTTCAGACAAATTGTTGTCTCGTCTCTTCTTAAAAACCTCCACAGTTGGAGTATCCACAACTTCTGGAGACAAATTATTCTATTGATTAATTGTCTAACTGTCAGTAAATTTCTCCTTAGTTCTAGCTTGGTTATCTCTTTGATAAGTTTCCATCCATTGCTTCTTGTTCTGCCTTCAGTTGGCCCCTCTTCATTGTGGCAGCCCCTTAGATATCGGAATATTGCTATCAAATTTATTTATTTATTTATTTGATTTATATACTGCCGTACTACAGAAGGACTCAGGGCGGTGAACAGCCACAGAATAAAACATATAAATACAAAAATTTAAAATAGAATAAAAATGAATTAAATAATTTGGCTGAGACAAATTTAAAATACCCAATAATTTAAAAACAAATTAAAATTTACATTTAAAAGGGGAAAAGATTTAGTCCTGTAATCCTTCTTTTTATTAAACTAGACATACCCAGTTCCTGCAACCATTCTTCCTATGTTTTAGCCTCTAGTCCCTTAATCATCTTTGTTGCTCTTCTCTGCACTCTTTCTAGGCTAGAGTGTCAACATCTTTTTTATATCATAACGACAAAACTGGATGCAATATTCCAAGCACTGTTTTACCATGGCATTATAAAGTGATACTAACGCTTCCCATCATCTTGATTCTGTACCTCTGTTAATACAGCCTAGGACTGTGTTTGGCTTTTTGGCAGCTGCAGCACCCTGGCTCATATTTAAATGATTGTCCACAAGCACTTCTTCTGTATCTTGAGCTTATCTTTTGGAGTATTGGCTATTCCTGCCAGCTTGGTGTCATCTACAAGTTTGATGAGTTCCCTTTCTAGCCCCTCATCTAAATCATTAAAGAGTACTGGGCCAAAGACATAGCCTTGGGCTCCCCCCACTGCATACTTCCCTCCATATATAGAAGCAGTTCCATTAAAGACTACACATTGAGTGTGGTTCGTCAGCCAGTTACAAATCCATCTGGTAGTGATGCTGTTTAACCCACATTTTTCTATTTTATCAAGTAGTAGGTTGTGGTCTATTTTATCAAATGCCGTACTAAAGTCCAAGTAAATTATATCTACATCATTTTGGTGGTTTACTAATTTGTCACATTATCAAAGAATGAAATAAGTATTTTCTAGCATGATCTGTTTTTGCTAAACCCATGTTGGCTTCTGTTATGACTTTGTCAGCAGACTTCTATCACTGGCATGTTAATTTCATGCTTGTTTTGCCTTCTTCATGTGGTTCTGACCAATGCACTTTGACTTTTGAAGGTAGAGCAGTCCTATCTGAATAGAATTTCAGAATTTTGAATTAACCACATCCAAAGTAATTATAGTAAAGATACTAATAAAGTAAATTACTAATTTATTATAGTAAATTAAAGTAAAGATATTAGTAGTAATATCTACTAATGGTTTTATTCATAATCTTCCCTAAGAACTATAATTATAATATTTATAGTGGTCTTAGTTTCAGAGAACTTGCAAAATCACAAGCATTCAAAGGTTGATACCAAACTCCATACTGTGAATCATTAATACTTTTAATGTAAAAATATTCCCAAAGTAGCCCTTGGCAACCTATTTCCCACCAATAGGATGAAATCCCCAAAAAATGGGGGATACCCACTTTGATAAGATACTCCACAGTTTGGTACATTATTATTATGCAAGAACATATGAAAAATATTCATAAAAATGAAAGAGAAGACTTACATACCTGGTTTATACTTTTCATCTGTAAAAAAACAATTTTCATAAAATTAATGATTAATTAATCATTACCACATGGATGTTGTTTAAAGTTTTTTATTTTAAACTTTTTTATTTTAAGATCTTTGCTTCAGCACAAATAGTAAACTGAACTGAGAGAAACGAGGTAAGTAATGACTGCCTTGTTCAGTGACCATTTGAATTCTCATGGCACTGGTCCTCAAACTTGTGACCATCACAACATCCCTACAGTTACTGCAAATCCCCATTTCCTCCCGATCAGCTGGGACTTGGAAGGCAGAGAATAGATGAGGGTGGGGCCAGTCAGAATTTTTACTACCAGTTCTCCGAACTACTCAAAATGTCCGCTACCGGTTCTCCAGAACTGGTCAGAATCTGCTGAAACCCATCTCTGGATCACATGATGTTGCACTTAACAAACACAGATGAATCTCTTAATTACTGAAGTAGAGTTAACGTTATAAGCTGGGCACAGTCATGTAATGTCTCATTCAGTGACCACATTGTTTAGTATTAGAGTTGCTGGTTCCTATTGTGGTGTATTAATTGAGACCTGCCTGTGTTTTGTTCTCTGAACCCGTTAAGAATGGCCTTCAAATTCAGATCAAATGCCAGCATTAAGCAAATTGAGCATATCATGATTGCTCTTGAGGTTTTAACTTTAACGTTATTAGTGTTTGAGACTCTTCTACAATTTATTTCTGGATTGTATAGCAACTGAAAGAGTGGGAAATGTCAATGAGTTGGAGTTGTGGAATGGCATTGTTCTACACTGATTGGCTGAACAATTAAGAATGATCATTTTATGTAATAAGGTTTCATCTTCATCTTTTAGAATTTAATCAGTTGCTCAATAATTGCTCAATGTTTGAACTTCTGCCTTCACAAAGAAGAATTTGATTATACCAGACATTCTCAAATAAGTCTCTGCCTTTCCTAGGGGACTAACAGATAAACTATCAGAACTTCCCACATGATTCTCTTTCCATATGTTCATAGTTATCCAAACATTAACAGAATGCCATGGCAACTATCATGAAAAAGGCTACAACCAATAGACCATACAGTATGCAACAGGGAATATGTGGAAGGGCCATTCAAGATTTGCCTTCAAGTACTTGTCCTGTTTCTTCTTTCTATTGCAGGCTCATAGTTCATCTCGAATGATTAATTAAAAATATCACTTAAAAGGTTGCATAGACATTTGAGGAAACCCACATTTAGCATACTTTAGTGTAACATTTGGTAAGACACTACTAATAGTTTACACTGGGATTCTGTTAACAACAGCAATTGGGACTGCAGGAATTGCCCACCCTAAGTGATGCAGTCATGCTTTATGGCCACCCTACTTTGTGACAGAAATTTTGGTCCCAATTGCTATTGTAAGTGAAGGAGTAGTTTGATCATCTTGAAAGTTCGAGTGAATAATTTCCTCCTTGTCATGGCTCCCAACCTCTGAAACAGAATAGATAAGGACAGCCTTCTCTCTTCTAGGGTTCCAGAAAACTTTTAAAACCTGGCTTTGGTCCCAGGCCCGGGCTTGATGTATCAGCATTATTGTGTTTTTTTTGTTTGATTTGTGTTATCTACAAGTTAGTTTTTCTTTAGGATGTCTATTTGATTTGATAAAGTATCAAAATCCATAAGTTTTATGGATTTTCCAATTTTGTATGCTGCTCAAAGTCTAATGGATTTGGGCAACTAATACGACAAGAAACAACAAGAAACAATAAAACAGATATCTGTAGTTATGTAACCATCTTACCCCATGAGTGCTTCTACAGCAGGGATCTCCAAACCCCAGTCCATGGACCTGCAGTGGTCCATGTCATGCCAGCAACCAGGCCTTGTAAACAATGTAAGCAGCACACAAAAACACACTCCCTCTGGTCCATGGAAAAACCTTTCTCCATAGAACCGGTCCCTGGTGCCCAAATGTTGGGGGGCGCTGCTCTACAGTACTATTTAGTGAATAACCATATTGATTCCACACTTCGAGTAAAAATCAAGACTTAAGAAAACCCACACATACCTGTGCAGAGAACGGTAGCATCCTGTTCATGATTGCAGTTATGCACTTCCCATCCAGGGTTCTTACAATCCCATAGAAAAAATTCATCTCCTTTGCATTGTACGTCACTTAGGACAATTTTGCCTGAGCCTGAGCCAAATTTAGGCCAGGACAGGGCTTCTACAGCATTCCCACATCCTAACTGTTGGCAAACGACCTCAGCATCTTTTATATCCCAGTTGTTGCCACAGACAGTTCCCCAGGCTCCTTTATAATACACTTCCACGCGTCCCTCACAATAGTTGTACGTGCCAGCAAGCCTTAGAGACAGTCCTATGCAAAACCAGAGTGAACAGATTAGTATTATTTACATCTGGAAGTGAATAAAATAGAATAGGTTTAGTTCTTTCATTTCACAGACTAGACTTCCCTGATTCTCGGTGTGTATCAAGTATCTTGAGAATTCTGGGAATTATAGTGCCAGCATCTGGAAAACTATCATATAGGTTATCTTGAGACTGAAAATTTCTTCAAACAGTAGTTAAATGCAAAGTGAGTTTTAAATAGCAGAATAGTAGGTATTTATATGTATTTATTTTTAAGGAAGGGTGATAGAAAACTCAGTGAAAATTCCAACCACTTAAGTACTTCCTTTTCCCAAGCTATCCTGGAAGTGCCTTATTTTTATTTTGCTTTATGTTCTGTGACAAACATCCAAGTTTCACATCTAATTCTAAGATGAATTCTCATGTTTTATAATTGCACAGTTCTGTTCTACGTATTTTTGCATGCATTTCTGATTAATAATAATGTTTTGCAAGAAATTTACTCAAATACATTTTTGAATGTCATTAGTATCAATATATATGCTTTTTAATCTGTGCTTCCTTAATATAAACATTTGATGGACATGACAAATAGGATAAGAATATTGCACTGCGATTCAATTTTCACAAACAATTTCCACAATACAATTTTGAACAGGTATATTAGATTAAAAATACAAAATAATAGAAAAAATTCATTTAAATGTGCACCAGACTAATTTCTTTCCCATATCTAAATGAGAATCTTCTTGTGATTGATTTTGATTATATGTGTTTGGGGATGTGATATAAAAGAAAGTTGTGTTTTCAAAGGGAAATTTTTGCCTTTGCAAAAAGCACATTTTCTTTAGATGCTCATTTTGCTTTACTAAAGATAAGAAGGTATGAAATATAAGATTTATATATGCTAAGATTAAAAAAAAAGTTTTTTTTTAGTTTAGTTAGTCTGACATTCCATCAGACTAACTTAGTGTTGTATACAGTCACACTAACCTGGAGTTGGAGGTGTTGCCGTGGTAGATAGAGCTGACACTAAATTGAGATTAAAAGAAGCAGATTATTACAATAATTATCACCATCATTGCTATTATGATAATAATTTCCAAATGCATTCAAACTCTTTGATTGCACTGTACAAAGAATACTGAATTCATACGCAGGAATATTAACTGAAACAATCAAAATCTAGTTTCCCCAAAATTAAGGCCTAAGGCATAGTGCCACAAGGGGGAGCTAAATCTTTACTTTTAGTAACCTGTCCAATGTAAAAACTGGAGAGCAATCCATTATTATACTAATATAATGTTAGGGATCCTTACCATATTAATAGTTGCTCTAAAGGTGGGTCATTAGAAGTAAAACCAAAAAAACCTACTGAAACCCAATACATTTTGTGCTTGTACTAATTCAACTAGAAATTTATATTTGTAAAGCTACCACATCCAGGTGAAAAAATATCTGGCCAACTTCATGATGGCAATTAAAATGCTCTATATATTCCTTGCTGCCATCTTGTGGTTGCCTGAATTTCTCCAGATCAGATATAGTAATCCGAAATTGGTTTATTCGTTTTGGATCGCAGTTTGATTCCCATCTTTTAAAAAAAATAATTGAATCAGATGGAAATAAATAGCTTTTACTGATAAATAAGGTTTGCAAGCCAATTATCATGCAAAAAGGTTCAGTTCAACACTACTTTTGATTTATCGCTCTTAATGGTGGCCCTTGTCCAAAAGTAGCCCTAATATCAGCTGTGATATTATTATATTTCTAAGCACTTTAATTTATACAAAAAGGTAACATTGGATCTACCATTAGTAATGGTAGGATTAGCTTTGTAATACCCCAAATCTGAATCCCCTGGATCTGTCCTTATAGTTCAAGGGAGATTGAGAACCCGAGATAGATCATGTTCTATTATATTGCTCAGTGGTTATATTATTGAACTAACAGACCAGGTGCACCTGATATATTTTATACTTTTCATTTTATTGGCAGATGCAGATACAGGTTTTCTGTGTGGCTAAATATTGTGCTATAGCTTATTCTGGACTAATCAATGATAATAAGTTTTCACTGATTGATTGCCTACAGCAGTGGCTCTCAACCTGTGGATCGCGACCCCTTTGGGGGTCGAATGACCCTTTCACAGGGGTCGCCTAAGACCATCGGAAAACACATATTTCCGATGATCTTAGGAATAATTTTATGGTTGGGGGTCACCACAACATGAGGAACTGTATTAAAGGGTCATGGCATTAGGACGGTTGAGAACCACTGGCCTACAGCAAAGGTCTTCAAACTTGACAGCTTTAAGACTTGTGGACTTCAACTCCCAGCTATGCTGGCTGGAGAATTCTGGGAGTTGAAGTCCACAAGTCTTAAAGGTGTCAAGTTTGAAGACATCTGGCCTACAGAGTCTGGAATTTCCTTCCTTCCTTCCTTCCTTCCTTCCTTCCTTCCTTCCTTCCTTCCTTCCTTCCTTCCTTCCTTCCCTCCCACAAGTGGTGACTGCCAAACTATCAGTCAGTCAATTGCATGTAAAACAAATGTAGTCAAAATTTCCAACAGGCATATTTTCTTTGTAAAATGGCTACTTTCTTTTGGGATGAATGAAGGAAACTTTGTTCATGCCAGCCCATACCCAGAGTCTGGAACAGTGGAACTTAGACATAGATTTGATACTACTTTTGCTCTGTATGAAAAGGTGACTAAGCGCTACACGCTCATGCATATTTAAGTTCTTATCAGTGCTTTTACAAGGAATACTAATTTTGAGAATCTGTATTATATACCAAATGAATCAGGGGTGGGTTCTACTTACCTTTACTACCGATTTGCAGTGGAGCAGCGCATGCGAAGCTTCTGTGCATGCGCAAAAGCATTTTGATGATGTCGGGGTCGGTGGGCAAGCCTCCCGCCGGTTTTAGTACCGGTTCTATAGAACTGGGGGCAACCCACCACTGAAATGAATCCCCTCCCATCTAGCCATTCCTGCTTGGCATCTATGCTTCTGCTTGAAAGCTACAGCTGCATCTGGAACTCAGTCATTTGAACAGTATTTTTAATCACTTTCACTTGTCATTAAACTAATAAAAACAACAGTGGTCGATGACGAGACATAGATTGAATTTATTGGACCAAGAGGAAATGGCGCAAAAAATAAAAAGATCCAAGCATTATTGTTTTGAGAACGCTAACAAGTCAGGGAGATGGCTGGCATATAAACTAAAAAAAGAGAAGGAAAAAAATCAAATATTAGTATTAGAAGACTCCCAGGGTAATTTGCTGACGAAGGAAGAAGACAAATTAGAGAGTATAAGAAAGTTTTATGAAGGTCTATATAAAAGTGAAGGAATTGCGTCAAACAAGGTAGAACAGTACCTGTTGGATGCTAATCTACCGTTAATCCCTGAAGAAGAAAAGGAAAGGTTAAATGAAAAGATCACTATAGAGGAATTAAAAACGGCCCTTTCTAAAATAAAGAAGAACAAAACTCCAGGCCCAGATGGTCTTCCCGGGGAATTATACCAAAAATTTGATGATGCCCTAAAATTAGAGTTACTAGAAATACTGAATGAGGCTCTGGCGGGTATCACAATTCCAGATTCGTGGAGGGAAGCGTATTTGACGCTTATTTTGAAAGAGGGTGCTGACCCGAAACAGATATCCAACTACAGACCTATCTCATTGTTGAACGCAGATTATAAATTGTTCACGAATATAATTGCGGAGAGGTTCAAAAAAATTTTAAATCGGTGGATACACAAAGATCAAAATGGCTTTCTCCCAGGGAGACAGATCAGAGATAATCTGAGAATAGTTTTAAACACCTTTGAATACTACGAACAACATCCTGAAAAACAGCTGGCCTTAATGTTTGTCGATGCCCAAAAGGCATTTGACAACTTGAATTGGACGTTTATGATAAATCAAATTGACCTAATGGGATTCGGTACTAACTTTAGGAAGATGATTGAGAATATCTATAAAAACCAGAGGGCAAATATACTAGTGAATGGAGACAGAACCCAATTGTTCCAGATTCAAAAAGGAGTGAGGCAGGGATGCCCCCTGTCTCCCTTATTATATATTTTGGCGCTAGAGGTGCTACTTAGAAAAATAAGAGCTAACAATGATATCAAAGGATTAAAGATTAGGAACGAATTATTCAAAACCCAAGCTTTTGCTGACGACGTAGCCCTCATAATGGAAGACCCATTAGAATCCGGTGGAAAATTAATGCAGGAAATACAGGAATATGGAGAGGTGGCGGGCCTTAAACTCAATAAGGATAAAACTAAATTAATAGTGAAAAACATGACAGACCTTCAAAAGGAAGAATTGGAAAATTTATTAGGCCTCCAGACAGTTAGGAAAATAAAATACTTGGGAATATGGATCACTGCGAGATTTTCCTCATTAAAAGATGATAACTATATCCCCCTTCTGCAGAAAACACACCAAGACCTTGAAAGATGGAAAAAGCTCAAATTGTCTCTGATTGGTAAAATTGCAGCGATTAAAATGAATATCCTACCAAAAATTTTGTTCCTATTCTAAAACATTCCGTTATCTTTAGATAAAAAATTCTTTTTGGACTTGAACAAACATATCAGGAATTTTCTGTGGGAGGGCAAGAAATCGCAGATTTCTTTTAAGATACTCCAAGGGAAAAGGAATTTGGGAGGTTTTGGGCTCCCTGACTGGGAACTATATCAAAAGGCGGCAAAAATAATCTGGATTAAGGAGTGGATCAAGTTACAAGATAGGAGAACCCTGACCTTGGAAGGACATGACCTTCTAGAAGGATGGCACTCCTACCTTTGGGATATAAAGAATAAGAAAAAATCCTATTTTCATAAACATAAAATTAGGGAGACCCTTATTCGCACGTGGGTCGAAATTAGACAGAAGATCTATACGAAAGTACCCAACTGGCTTTCCATCCTGGAAGCCTTGGCGGCACCAAACAGGAGAGATAAGTACAAATGGGGTACATACAAGGACATCCTCGACGAAGAAGGGAAACTTAAATCGCTGGATCTATTGAGAGATTAGGGCCTAAACTTGATTGGTGGAACTATTTTCAGATCAACTCAAGATTCCAAAAAGACAGAGACAAATTTGGTATAGCAGCGAAATTTGGGAACTTTGACAAAATTATTTGGGGAACAGATAAGAAAATGTTATCAAAAATCTATAACTTTCGATTAGATGAATATAGGGCAGAGTCCATAGCAAGAAATCAACTGAACATCTGGGAAAAAAATCTAGGACATAGACTAAATTTTAATGATTGGGAGATAGCTTGGAATAGAAACTACAAAATAACTAAATCGACAACGTTTAGGGAAAATCATTACAAATTGTTACACAGGTGGTATCTAGCCCCAGCGAGGCTAGCCAAGATGTTTCCAAATCTCTCTCCCACATGTTGGAAATGTGGAAAAACGGTCGGCACCTTCTACCACTTATGGTGGACCTGCCCTGAGACTAAAAAGTTCTGGTCCAAAATCCGATACTGGCTCTGTGAAATAACGGGACAGGAGGTAGTCCTAGCCCCAGAGCTTTTCCTCCTAGGCATAACTGAAGAAGGCTTCAATAACAAAAAAAACCCAACTGATAATCCAGATTATAACTGCGGCTAGATTAGCCTTCGCAAAATGCTGGAAAAACAAACTTATGCCCTCAGAAGAAACTCTAATAAATAAGATCCTAGAGTGCGCAGAAATGGCGAAACTGACAAGTGAGTTAAAAAACGAGGACAACTCAAAATATTATGACGTATGGGGTATTTGGTATCACTGGTTGAACAATAAGATGAAAACATGACCTTAGAATTTGACTTGGCACATGTATTATAGCTATATTGTTTAAAATAAGGTATAGTTAAGAATGAAGTCTTTTTTTAACTTTTGTTTCACTATATTGTATAAACACTGCACCTCCGAAAGGAGAGATAGATTGTATATTTTCTTTTTTGTTTTGGAAAACTTAATAAAGTATTTAAAATAAATAAATAAATAAATAAATAAACTAATAAAAATAAATCAAGTCTCCTGATGTTGTGGGCGTAAATAGAACAACAGCACTAAGGAAATTATCACCTCTTTTCTTGTTGCTTCCTTTTTTTCTTTTTTGCAACCCCATAGTTCCCCAAATCTGCTTGTCCCAATTAAAAGCAAGTTTGGGTTTCTGCTCTCATGCCACTATTCTATTGGTAACATATGCAAAGGATTTCACAACTTCACCAAATGGGTCCTAAGTATAGCAGACTTACACATTTACCGCCTGAATTTCCTCTTCTTAAATTCAAAGTTTTTGAAAAGTACTTAATGCCACCATTAAATAATAAAATAATAAAACTATTAGCCTTTGTGCAATGGCATCAGGATTATCATTGCCAGTTAAATCTGCTCTTCCCTACTCCTGATGCTAATTTCATTCTAAACTTTGCCTTTGGAAAACTTCCCACCTTCCAGAGTTCAGTATAGATATATAGTAGGTAAGTTACCTGAGCCAATGTCCTGAAGTACTTCTGCAATTAACATTAAAAACAGGGTGGGTTCCATGGCAGTATACATTCTTGTGAGTCTTTTCCTTTTGTATAAAGATAGTTGGCTACTTATATACATTGAGACTCTAAGGGAGTGGCTTACCATTTCTTTTGCCAATAATAAAAGAAAAGAACGAGAAGGTCAGTTAAAAGTCTCTCTCGCTCTCATATATACACACACACACACAAACAAATACACACACATACAAAGACAGCTGTATCCTTGATCACTGAACAATACATTTTTTTGAAAGTTTGCTTCCTGAAAATCGTTTGGTGATTATGATAGACCTCTTCCAACTGAATGCAAATATAATTTCAGAATGACTGTATCTCATAGGAACCTCGAGAAATATGAAATTAACTTTTAATGATGATAATGTATTTAATGGCATAATGCTTTGGACAGGCTGTATGAGTTTCCAGGAGCTAAAAGTGCTTTGCTGATGATTTTCATTTGTATTCAGTGTCTGAAGCATTTCCCTGAAACGTTCAACAATATACAGCCAGCACTGATGGATTCCCAAAGAAACGTCTTTCTAATGGATCATGCTCATAAGCCAAGACCGTTAACCAACTGTCAATGTCAGCACAGAAAATGAGGTGGTCAACCTGTGTAAAGAAATTTGTTAAATCATTCTGGCAAAAACAGAAGATTTTTTTTTTTAACAAACTGGTACTTGAGAGGTTAAATTACAGGTTATGTTTGTGATCAGCAGCCAAAAATCTACAGGATACACCCCAAAGTGTCCATGAACTAAAATCTTTGTTTTCCAGTGTTTAAGATAGTATAGGAAAGTTTGAATAATCAGCATTATAATGCTAGATTAATATCTGCTTTCCTGGATATGTCTTTTAGTTGAGACAAAAGCTAAAGCCTCATTTCTGTGCAAACAAAAATACAGAAGTTGCTTAAAGTCAGATTTTTATCTTAAAATAGTCTTTTCTAGATGTGTGCTTACAAGTATCTAACATAAAGAAACCTATTATGTTATCTTCATTTAGAAATGATCAGAAACACAATATCAACTGATGAGCACAGACAAAACAATTAGACATATAACAAGTTACAAACACTGTGCAATCCTGTGTATACATACTTAATATTTAATATACTTAATGTTCTTCCTTCTTGGTGATGAACTATGTACTATTAGTCAAGATTTGTACTCTGTGAGGCTCAGAGAACAGAAGTTCACCCTAAGAACATTTCTGCTTACTTTGCCACACCTGAAGTTGCACATTAGTTCAAATTGTCAATGGCTGGTTGTGTAACTCATTCCATTGTAACACACTGGAAGGCTAAGATCAAGAGAAATAACTAGAAGTTTGAGTCATCTTCTTCTTAATACTAACTTTGATGATTACTTTCATATCAGACTAATTATACTTTTGTCATAAAACAAGACCTTTGAATTTGGTTTTTTGAACTACGATGAAAAAAGTTTATTGTTGTTTCCCCTCACCTTGGTTGTTTTAAAACAGTTTTCCTCACTTTCTTAATTGTTTTAAGTAATCCCCAGATTCTTAAAATTTATACAAAAAAATGCATTAAACTGTAAAATGTCCATTTATTTATTTCTGAAAAATAGTTATATGAAGATCTGTTCCAGGATTACAAGGTCAATGATGGCACAACACATAAGGAAGTATTTTTCAGTTGGTGTTTTCCCCTACTTATTTGCTTATCTCATAATGGTCTTTTGAATATTGTGAAATCTTGTATAAGTAAATATATCACATATGATTCTTTTCCAATGTGTTTTATAACTGTAGCAGGAAACACCTGCCAAAAGCTAACAAAGACATGAAAAGTTTTAAAGATTTAGTCGATGTTGAATTAATTATTATATTATTCTGTTATATTTTTGGTCAGTAGAACTGAATCAATTTGCCAACACTTAAATTTTATGTCCAAAGTTTTCTTAACATTTGACTTCCACAAGTTTGTTTTCTTCAAAGCACACTATTAAATCAGATGCCTGATACCAAGATGAGTTGGTAAATTAGCAATACAGCTAGTCCTTGAGATACAGCTGTAATGAAGGCTGCCCATTAAAGCTGCATGTCACAATGGCTGTTTAGTGAAGCATCTCACTTAATGATCTCCCATCCCTGCTCTCCCAATACAATCATTAAATAAACATGCAGGTGTTAAGTGGAACACAGGGTGCCTCAAGGTTGAGGCCTTTGGAGGCCTAGCACAGACCCAGGTTCACTTGCTCTGACCTTCCCAAATCTCCCCTCCATGACCCCCTGTGCTCTGTTTCCTGCCCCTTGGATCCCCACAGGCATTTTCTCACCCCCTTTGTATCCCCTCCCTCCAAAGTTTTAGGCCTGATTCCAACCCCACCGCACCAAACCAAACACCCTCCACCTTTTGGAGAGCTCTGAGACCTTCAAGAGTGGATACTTCATTATACGGCCCTGTGGCATGATTCCAGAAGCAGCGGTGATATTTACCGCTCCCAGAATGCAATTTGGCTACTGGGAACATAGGTAATTGAAAAGGAGTGTATGGGGCCGGTTACAGATCAGGCCTAAGGCCAGTTGGAAGCTGTTGGGGAAATGTTTGCGGGTGATGGTGGGGGAAGATAGGTAGAAGATGGCACTGTATCATCCCTGCAGTTGATTGTTAGGGCAAATGAACATGGGAGTGCTGCAGCAGCTGTAAGTTTGGGACCTGGTCATGTAGCTTTTGGAGGGTCTGCCATAATTTAGAACAGCTGCTAAGCAACTGATCATAACTTGAAAACTACCATGCCCATTTGCTTAAAAACATTGACTGTGCTGAAATCTTGATAAGACATTATATAAAAGCTGTGAAATGGCTAGTTTATGTGTAAAAGAAAGGAATATATAGTATCAGTCTTTAGGCTAAGATCAAGAGAGGGAGGAGGAGGAGGAGGAGGAGGAGGAGGAGGAGGAGAGGAGGAGGAGGAGCAGCAGCAGCAGCAGAAGCAACCAGGGGTGAAATCCAGAAGGTTCTGACAGGTTCTGGAGAACCGGTAGCAGACATTTTGAGTAGTTCGGAGAACCAGCAAATACCACCTGGCTGGCCCCAGAGTGGGGTGGGAATGGAGATTTTTCAATATCCTTCCCCCAGGAGTGGGGTGGGAATGGGGATTTTGCAATATCCTTCTCCTGCCATGCCCACCAAGCCACACCACACCCACCAAGTCACGCCCACAGAACCGGTAGTAAAAAAATTTGAATTTCACCACTGGCAGCAACTCTGGATGTTTTTCATCTTCTACTCCAGGGGTCCCCAATCCCCAGTATGCAGCTTGGTACTGTTCTGTGCCCCATTGGGAATTGGGCCACACGAGCAGCGGGTGAGTGTGTGTGTGCACAAAGTTGTGTTTGTGCAAGTAGAGCACATGAACATGAAACCGTCTCCCCTCCCCTTCCCACCACCACCGATCTGCTGAACCGCTGTCATAAACTTTAGCAACAGAAGTAGAAAGCTCAAGATAAGTTCAGCCAACAGTTCAGTTGGACAGAGGGGATGAAGTTCCCCTGAGACTCAGGTAGTATGGCTCTATATTCAAAAAGATAGGGCAGGTTTCAGTAATAGGTCTGTCCTTTAAAGCGAACTTGAGCAGTGAAAGTTCCATTCAGGAACAGAACTTTAGCATGAAAGAGGACTTTATTACAGTTAGCCTGACCAAGATATCCTGGATAGGACTTTGGCTTTAGAAAGTGAGGAAAATCAAACTTGTTATATGAAGTCATCAGAATTTCTAGTTGTTCCATTTAACGTTTGAAAATAACCTGGGTTTTATCTAAATATTTGCTATTGCTTCTTACCTATTTTGATTTGGTAGGCACAAGCAAAATGTAACATTTGAGATCGACAAAATAAAATGCATGTTGCCAAATGTCCAATAGAGCCAAATATTAAATACTACTTTATGTCAACAGTTGAATCTTAAATGTAGCATTTTGCCATTTATTTGATGATGATGATGATGATGATGATGATGATGATGATGATGATAGTGATAATGAAGTGACACCAGGATATCAATTCTCAGTGACCACACAGATTGTCTCTATGATGATCTATCCCTAATTTGGTCCTCAGCTCTTCAAATGTGCCTTCATTGTCTTTCCACCTTGTTGCTGGTCATCCTCTTTTCTTTCATTCCACCTTTCTCAGCATTAGACTTTTCTCCAAAGAACTTTTTGCACTAGGGGTCTGAAGTAGAATAATTAGAGCCCATTCTTTTGTGCCATGACTGAGAACTCTAGGTTAATTTGTTCAGTGATATGTTTGTTTGTTTTCTTAACTGTTCATGGTATTCTGAGGGGTCATCTCCAATACCAACCGTGTTTTCACTGTCTTCCTTGACTTTTAATACTAGGCCTTGCCGATCCTTTGCATTTTCTTCTGTCAAGGTACTGTCATATCAATATAACATATTTAATATTAATAGATACTAAACAGACATTTATCTGCATTGTCATTAGAACAAGGTAATGTACACACTTTCCTCTGTTTCTCCTCCATGCAGACCAAGGGAGCAAAAACTTGGTTTCCTGGTACCTGATAAAGTGTTTGATAGAATTAATGAAATATATAAATACTGTATAGGCAAATACTGAGCTTAATTGAAATTGGATATATTTGTATGAAAAATATAGGTTGTAGATTTAATTCAGGGTTAGGGTTATTATATAGGTGCAAGCTTTTAAAAAAAACACTTAGATAATCTGATTACGTCTGTCTCCATTCGTTTGCAATGTGTTGCAATACAGTATGACATACAGTAGACACATAGTTATTTATGGCTTGGCAATTTAGAATTAATGAATAACTTGATCCTTTGATAACCCATGTAGATTATTTATTGGTTTTATTGTTTCTGGGCTTCCGAACAATATAAAAAACGTTCAAAGTTTATATTTATTGTAATTTTTTTTAAAAAAAAATATTTACGTACACACATCAACTTTTACAATATTAAATTTATGTGGCTGAATTTTAAAAAGAATCCTCCTTTGTGTGAAACCAAAGATCCGGTTCAGGTCAATGAACTCATAGATGGACATTTTAAAAATGAACTATAAA